GTGGTCGTCGTGGAAGGCACTAGTTCGACATCTTTCTGTCGCTCGGTTGAGAAATACGTGGACTGTTACGGAATTAATGAGACGTTTGTAAAAGTTGTACCGTGATATTTTCAAGAATCGAAGTGATGTAGTTCCTTAAGGAATCGATACCGATTGATACGGTTTTGTAAAATAACCCTAGTAACTCGAAAGCGTATTTATTACAGAAATGGCGGAAAATGATTGATAGCGTGATCTTTACGTTTGATCTAAAATGGCGACTTAAGCAGATGTTATTTGCGAGTATGGTTATCAAGGTATTGTATGAGAAGTATGATTACCTGGATAGCATATAAGAATATGATTATTGAGGTATTGTGCAAGAAGTATAATCTAGATATCTAGATATCATGTATCAAGTATGATTACCAAGATATAATATTAGAAATATGATTGTCAAGATATTATGTTCGAATTATGATTATCAAATCATCATATAAAAGGTAGCAGTGTGTGTCCAATTTTAAAGGAGTACAATATGTGAAATTTTTTATGTATGTGAACTACACTTTTCTACTAATGTAATTTTTATGTATTGTTTAAAAATTAAAAATTTGAAAAGATGAAAGTAAATAAACAAACGAGTATTATATTAGATCACGATCGTCAAAGAAATGAAAATGTCAATTTTAATTTTACTTTAGACAAGTTAACGTTTCAACATACCAACCGATTATATTTTTAATACTATTGAAAATAAACTTCTTAACTTCTTACTTTAACATTACCTTCTTATTCTCCATTTCCACAAAATCATATAAGCAGCAAAATTACCGGAAACATTAAACGAAAGAAAAACGGAAAAAGAATTAATCGACGGAGATATTAGATAAATACCACGAGGGCGAAAAAATTCCGTCGGCCGTTGTTTCGAGCGATCATAAACATTTTTACTCGGATTTCGCGATTTTTGCGAAAAATATTTTTACCAAAGCATCAGTCACGAATTTATAGGCAAGTTTGTGTGCAAAACAATAACGTAAAAGCGTTATTTTATCGAACGATTATTCAATTAGTATGACAAAGGAACATTCGAAATAATTTGAACAAAACGCGTACTATTTTTCGTGCAGAAAATTGATGCCAAAAATTGCTGCAAAATTAAAGCAACAACGATAGTCCTGACAATAGAGTATTAAAAATCCTCGGAATAATCGGTGCATGTTTTTCTACCGCTTTCCTTTGTTCAAACCAAGGTTAATTCTCTCTAAATTTTAGCGTGATCTCATTGTCGGAATACGTAGTTTAACTTGATTTATGGTGGATATTTTCAATCAAATCTGATGAAACTTGTCATTGAGGAATAAAAGATCGAACGGAAAAATAAAAAGTGTACAAAATTTAGAATTTATATTTACTGACACTAACGTTACTTTAACTATTTATTTTAAATAGTCTTTAATTAATAATTTCATCGTTCATTTTTTATTTTTACTAATTCTTCTTTGTATGATTACAAAATTTACTAATGATTTCATGTTGACTTCATATTTATAGTCTGACTAATATTATTTTAATTATTTATTTAAAAGCTGACAATTAAATTTAACTCTTTCTTTAATTTTGTATATTATAAAATTTAACTGATTTTCAGTTAAAGTACGATTGAAATTATAATAATTGCTAAATTTGCAAATTGTCATAAATTGAGAGTATAAATTTGAAAATTAATTAATAGAGTCTTTAATTGAGATTTCTTCGCTATTAGTATTTCTGACTGGTATTAATTATTACAAAGTACAATTAGATCGAAATAGGTTCTTGAAATTATTTATTAAAGCTATCGAATTTGGCAAACTATAGATAACTTTTCTGTGCTGCAATTTATGAATTTATTTTGGTGAGACAGAACTATACTTTATGATATTATTAAATTGAATTATGAGACAGACTAATGTGAAACAGTAAGAGATTTTAATTGTAAAGAAATAAAACTTTCTTCTATGTGAGTTTTAATTGTAATCATTGTTAAATTTTAGCTGTAAATTGCAGTTATATTTGTTATCAAATTATAACTATAAATTGTAGTTATATTTGTTATTAAAGTATAACTATAAATTGCAGTTATATTTATTATTAAAGTTTAACTATAAATTACAGTTATATTTATTATTAAATTACATTTATAAATTATTGATATATTTGTCATAAAATTATAACTACAAACTATAGTTACATTTATTAAATTATGACTATAATTATTCAATCAAAAATTTATTTCAAACTTCATATTATGAAGTGAATAAAATTTTTGACCAAAACTTTTAAATATCAGAAATGTTAATTTCAAAAATTCTTAAAACTCAGAAATGTTTATTTCTGAAATTCTTGAAATCCAGAATTGTTTATTTCTAAAATTCTTAAAACCCAAAAATATTTATTTCTAAAATTCGTAAAACCCAAAAATGTCTATTTCTAAAATTCTTAAAACCCAAAAATGTCCATTTCTAAACTTCTCAAAACCAAAAAATGTTCATTTCTAAAATCCTTAAAACCCAAAAATGTCCATTTCTAAAATTCTTAAAACCCAAAAATGTCCATTTCTAACCTTCTCAAAACCCAAAAATGTTCATTTCTAAACTTCTTAAAACCCAAAAATGTTCATTTCTAAACTCCTTAAAACTCACAAAAATTTACCTCCAAAAATCTTCAAAATCAAATATTTATTTCAAATGTTCTCTCAACATAAAACGTTATCGAATCCAAATCACATTTTCATAGAAACAAGGCGCAACTTCATGCAAATTTTACGTTAATTAAACAGTTACAAAGTCCTGCAAAGTTCACATGAGTTAGAAACATAGATTACGCAGTTCTGAATTCATAATATAGGTGAAGGAAAAAATATAGACACCTCGAAGTGGGAGAATAAATAAATTATTTAGGCAACGGTGACGCGTGAAACTTTACTAGAACAATAAACTTTGATTCTTTAAAACTTTTGTTAAAAGTTTTCTAACAATGAGAACAGTCTTAACTTTCTTTAGTATAAACATAAAAATAATGAACATCTCAATTGTTTTACTCGTGTAATATTATTTTGCTCTTAATATTTTATGGAATATAAATTAATTCATTAATTAATATTTTGTAGTAGACAAATTACACATAGTGTTTATATGTTTTTTTATGTATTCACATAGTGTTCATAATTTTATAGCATTCAAGAAATGTTGACTCAAACATTTCTTTTAATTAATCATAAAATTTGTAACAACGTTAAATTGAATTTATAATCATGAATTATTGAATTTATAATAATAAGTTTTCTGTGTAAAATATTTTAATATTCGCGATTAAATTTAATTATTCGTACATTGAAACAATGTGACAGGTGAAACGAGTTGAAGTTCAAACACGAAACAAAGTGTCGTAACTTCGGATTATAAATAAAATTGTCTAGTATTCTGTGCTGATATAAACGTCATCCTAATCGCATTTATTCTTTCCTTTATTATGAAAGTAAACTCGATATTTTTATATCAAGCTGCGAATTTTTGAGCATTTGCAATAATGAAAGGAATTATGTATCAAAATTTATTTGTGTCGAGTGGATAAATTGTGACAATGAACATTTGACGATACTTATTTTTTATAATAAATTCAACATTCCTTTGTCAGTATATTGAATGTGTTTTTAACGTTCACTGTTATAATAAATACGGCCATGTATCACACGTTATAACTGTAATTTACTATTATGCAAAATTTTTGTTCGTTGCATTGAAATATTCAGTCAAACCTTCACTGTTATAATAAAATATGTCATAAAACATATCATAAATTTAAAAAAAAATATTTTTATTTTAATCTCTGTGCTTATTTCATATTAAATATACGACTTAACCTACAATTCTAAGTTCACGTTTTTACTGATTATAATTGACAGTATCACTTAATTTTTTATACTCATGAAATCTACATGTACTCCAATAACTATCATAAATAATAACTAAGTGACTATTAAAATGTTAATAAGTTTGTTCACATCATTTAATAACATTTAAACTTTTTACCAGATCTAGTTCATATATGACATGTTCACATAATGCACTTCTGAAATATTTATTTTTACGTTATTGTTATATATCCACATAAAGTACTTCATAATATTTATATAACTACATATTCTCCACATAATGTATTTTTAAAAGATTCCTATATGAATATGTCCATATAATGTATTTTCATATGTGTTCATATGTGACTACATACATATATGTTCATATGTGACTGCATATCCACATAGCGTCCTCAAAATTGTCATACATAATTATATCCACATATTGTACTTTTTAAATGTTCACATATAGTATGTTCATATATCCTATTTTCTATATGCTCATATGTGAATATATCTCCAAATGATCATACATAATTATATCCACATATTGTACTTTATAAATGTTCACATATAGTATGTCCATATATCCTATTTTCTATATATTCATATGTGACTACATGTCCACACAGACTTTTCAAAATACCCATACAAAATTACATATCTACACATTGTATTACCTAAATGTTCACATATGACTATCCACATGTATTCTCTAATTGTTCATATGTGCCTACATGTGCACCTAGCGTTCTCAAAATATTCATTACAAGTACATATCATCCAGTGTACTTTACAAATGTTCATACATGTCCACATGGTGTACAAATGTTCATACACGTCTACATGTCTTTCTGAAATATTCACACGTGCAATGCGCCTACAGAAACCATATTATCCACTCGACGCAAATAAATTTTGCTCAAAAATCTTCAAATATATCACAAAAAAACCCCGAAACAAATTAATGCACCTTACACATTTCATAACCGATAACTGGCCAGTAAAGTACAATTAAGGAAGCCAACTTTCGAAAATCTGAAATGTCACTGTCGAAACAAGTAGTTCGCAATAAAGGTCACAATAATGGCACAGCAAAACGATTAGAAAGTATACGTACTTTGGGAAGTGAGGTCACCGGGTTCGTCCTGTATGTTAACGGGTGAGATTTTCACTGACCTTGGAGGGCCCTGAAGGCTGAGGGGCCCGGGCCCTCCGGCAGCGGCCATCCTCTGCATCGCTGCACCCCCGATTTCCATCGCTCTTCCAGCCCTGCGCACCTCTTTCGACGACTTTCGAGCAATCTTGAAGCCTTCCTGCCAAGTACGACCACGGGTCGTACTTACTTTTACCCGGACAGAATTCCACGAAAGTTTCAACCCCGTCACCACGCACGGTTACTCCCTCCGGGAGTTCAGAGATCGACACTATCAATCCTTACACTATCGAACACTATCGTCTCGATCGTTCAACACTTCACTGGTCCTCGGATCACTCGAGTTTATCCGAGTCCCTCATCGTCAGAACGCACATGGATTCGATTTCTTAGACAATTAACGTCACGCACTGTGTTCTGGCCATTCCAGTAGAGCCTGGAAGTCTGCCCGAGCCCGGGGCAAACGCTGTCAACGGATCCAAGCGTTTGACAGATCCAAATCGACTCGCACGGTTGAACCTGCTCCCCTCCTCGATCGGGGCTTCGATCGGTCCGATCCGATTGTTTGGAAGGGTTAACGGATCCGTGGTCCAGGTGGAAAAAAAGGATCGCGGGTGTACGATTATTCCCTTGTCACTCGCGGTACACCGGCGGCTCTCCCGTAGCGGTAACGAAAAATCAGGGAGAAAGGGGGTTGGAAAGGTGGACGGGGAGGGAGAGCAACCGAGAGAGAGAGAGACAGAGAGAGAGGAAGAGAGACAGGAGAAGAGAGAAAAAAGAGAGAAAGAGAGAACACGTTACACGACACAACACACCAACGAAACTGACGGCGC